ACGAACAGGCAAAAACCCCGCCGACAATCTCGGCGGGTTTTCAAGCCTGCCGGTGCGACAAAAGACGTACGACAGTACAGTAAAAACGATCGCACGCCTTCCATACACCTTGCGATTATTGTACGATCGCGGGATTTCCCGCGATTATCGTACGATAATCGCAAGGTGTATGGGCACCTTAACAGTGGCTGCTAGCTGCCTTGAATCAGCTAATGTTAATCATACAGAATTTTTTGTTTCAGTTGTTATTGATATTTAATTTTTGGGTATATACTGATGAATTGAGTCTAACAGAGACTAGTGTCTATTGGGGACTCCAAAAATGAAATGTGTCCACCTACCACGAGCACTATTACTTGTCTCCCTCCTCCTATCTTAGAATGCTGAATGCAGCAGGATTTCTTTTCTGTGCTAGAAGTGTGAGGTGTGCGTAGAAACAGGCCAAGGGAAATTTAAGAAGCCAGGAGAATCCCAGTGCAGAACCCAAACATGAGATATCAATTTTAGAGTGACTCTTTTAAGATGAACTTAAAAGGGCAGGAGAAAACGTAACCCTTGCAGTGCAGGGGTAGCCTCACTGCAACGGATAAGTGCTTGTTTTCGTCTAGGGTCTAAAATAACAAAGATACACTCACCTGAACCTCAGTCCCACCTGGCTTCTAGACCAGTCCCTGCACAGCACATCCCTGTGTGTCCTCAAGTGTAATACACTGTATTGGACGTGATGACTCCCAGGTTCTTAGACCACCGGAGCAAAGCAGGAGAGAGGCTGCAGGGACCACTCTAGCAGCCAGGCGGGTCTGAGGGTCAGATGAGTATTTTTGTTATTTTAGACCCTAGATGAAAAAGCACCTAACCATTGCAATGTGAGGATAGCCCCACTGTAAGGTTTGTTTCCGTCTGCCCGGAGTTCTTTAACTCTAATTATTTTCCTATACACTGTGTGAAAAAAAAGAACAGTGTGCAGATTTACCACAAGATGGCAGCAGAGTACTACTTTTGTTAGTAATCAGAAGAATCCATGTGGTGGAGATCAATGTAACAAGTTTTCACTTCTACACAGGCAAGCAAAATGCAGTGATCATGGGCAGGAAAACATGGTTCTCTATTCCAGAGAAGAATCGACCATTGAAGGAAAGAATAAACATTGTTCTAAGCAAAGAGCTCACGTAAGTAAAGTTTGCATTGATTCTTGTGAAGTAGAAGTCAATATCTAATCCTCTTTCACACGGGCGGCATTCCTCAGATCAGCAGGGGATCCGTGAACAGATCCCTTGCTGAATCGGAACAGGAGAGATGTGACTTCTGTGTTCTCCGTTCAGTTTCTTCCTTCATCTTGTGATAGAGGAAAAAAATGGAGCTTAAAAGAAAAACTATGAGGTGAGTGCTTTTCACTCACCTCATAGTTCTAGCCAACCTGTAACAATGAGACTGTCACAGGTTGGCTCAGTAGATCGGGAGGTGAGCGAACACATACCGGCGTTCGCTCACCTCTCGATCCTGTCACGGCTCTCTGCCGTGACAGGGGAGGGGCTGGATTCCCCCCTCCCCGCTCCGATCCGCCAGCGCTGACTGGCAGAACGGACGGGTACAGCTGGCTCTGCCTCCTAGATAGGCAGAGCCAGCTGTCAGTCACGCAGCTGGGCGGATCCCGGCACAATTGTCGGGATCCACTTCAGCTGCGGCGTCTCAGTATACCGCGAGCAGCAGCTGAGCCCAGGGTGACGGGAGGAGGCTAGTTTGTGTCCTCCCGTTACCCTTAAGGAGAACTATGGGGAAAATCCCTAACCCTATAGTTCTCCTTTAATGCACCCATGTTTGACTTATCAGCAGGTGGGTATAAATGCTCCATTTTCCATCCTTTTACCTCTGCTGTCACATTTTAGGTTGGGAAAAAATGGAAAAGGACTCATTTTAGGTTTCAAACACTTAACTTCTTAGTGCTGCCAGAGAAACTTCAATCAGGATAGAGATAAACATGACTTGCCTTAAAGTGACTGTAGCTAAAATAAAATTCCAAATAAAAATGTTACGTAAAGGAGCAAATAAATACATACTCCCCCATTCTGTGGCTCTCCACACCACTCCATTGCAGTGAAATCGCTCACTGTAATTCTCTCTGCAGCAAAGCAGTATTTTGGCACAGCAGCAGAGGCAATTTTTATTTTTTTACAGGTAAAATTATTGGAATTATATATTTTGAATTTTAAGTGCAGCTCCAGACATTTTTTTCACTTAGGAAAGTTTAGGGCCTTTTTAGTTTGAAAGGTTTCCCCTGTGGGGAGGTTTTGCTTACTACAAATAGCATAGGAAGTGAAAGGGAATGCCCCATTGGGAGGCAGCAATTCAAACCCCTGACAAAGGCTTGACCCACACTATATACTGTATACAAAATCTTAAACGGGGCTCTAATGGGGCTCTACTAAGCAAAGGGCAATGTCTGTTTCCAAAAACTTCTTTTAAAAAACCTGTTTCTAATTGACACGTACATCTTAAAGGAGTATTATGGGGAGAGTGAAATACATTTACCCCCATAGTTGGAGCTGACGTGTGAAGCTGTATTGATTGAGAACTGAGTGATCACATACCACTGAACGCTCAGTTCATGATCCTCTCCCTGCTGAGAGTGGTGACTGTCAGTCACTGCTCCCTGCAGGAATTCCCCCTCTGGAGAAGCAGAGTCAGCTGTCAATCAGGCAGCTGGGTGGATCCCGACAATATTGTTAGGATCTTCTCCCGGCTGCAACACGGCTCTGCACTGCCGGCACAGATCTTCATTCTTTACTGCTGCCAAAGAATCAGACAGACTTCAGTTGTGTGTTGATTGTCTGGTCCCCCTGCACATTGTGGTTCTTTCCACTGACCCCTTTATCACTACTGTATGACACACTACTAGTGACTTAGAGGGCAACAGAAGAAACCACAGCATACAGAGGGGGACCAGCCATCTGACACTCCTGAAAGTGGCATACGCTGAATATTTTTTTAGCAAGTGCCCTTCCCTTGTTACCACTCTTTCCTTTGCATGGAATGCTTTTTTTTTGGGGGGGGGGGGGGGGGGTTTTTTTATTGAA